ATCACATCATTCCTCGTTCTATTCGGCCAAAATTGGTCATCATTTTCTTTACCCGACAATTCTTCCATCATTCCCGAGAAAAGAGGGGCAGCTGTTGATACCCGATTTTTCTCTCATATTTTTTAATTTTGTGTGTGTGTGTGTATATATATATATATATATATATATATATATATATATATAAGGTTGTATATGCATCATGTATTGATATATATTTCAAGGGATTGTACTGTATGTGATCTACATTTTGTATTCAGATGTATTCGAATATATTCAGATTATGTTGTATGTGTACTGCATTTTGTATTCATAAGTATTCAAATATTTCCATATTGTATTGCATTTTGTATTCATAATTAAGGCTGCCCTTATCCTTGCACCGCCAGCCTAACGCCAGCCTTAACCTGGCCTTTGCCTTGCAGCGCCAGCCTAACGCTAGAGGCTAGGCTAAAGCCTGGTTAAGCTGGCATTTGCCTGGCCTCGCCAGGTCTCTCCTTTTCACTGTTCTCGAGCACACTTTCAATGTTTAAGTATCCCTGTTGCTCTACTTTCATCTCCAATTCACTTACACATAAAATAGACTTCATTATGCGTAAATAAAGTGTAATTTATCATTAAAGCATATAAAATACAAGGCACATAATGTGCTAACCATGAATTACAGCCACACATCAGTACTGTATGCGATCTACATTTTGTACTCAGATGTATTCGAATATATTCAGATTATGCTGTATGTGTACTGCATGTTGTGTTCATAAGTATTCAATTGTTTCCAGATTGTATTGTATGTGTAAGCCATTTTGTATTGATATGTATTCAGTAGATTGTAATTATTGTATTCAGATATAACTACACCTGTATGTATTCATATTTATTCAAAATATAAATGCAATATGTATTCGGCACTTTACTAAATTATATTCAGCAGAATGTATTCACGCAATAATCCAATACACCAACTAATTATATCCAGAATGTATTCACGCAAAAATCTAATACACCAACTAATCAATATGTATTATTTCAAAATGTCACCGGAATCTATGACACATCGTTATTGCACTAATACAAGTCATAATGTGAACTAAGTCATACGTGGAGCATTTCTACAAGTACGCTTATTACGTCCTCCCTGCCCACATATGCTACACGAATGTTGATTTTTCTTCTGCAACAATTCACTAAACGACTTATCGCGCTTCTTCATTGGCCTTCCAGGAGGTATTTTCCATTTGGGTGGTAAGACAACTTCCTCTGATATATGTGCCGGTATATTCCATTCATTCGGTCAGGTAGCGGATACACGGGCACCTCGTACGTCATTACAACAGACTTTGATTTGTAATAGTCAGAGCAATAATCTTCTGGCATTAGAAACTTGCTCTTCTAGACAACCCAAGCGTGTGGGCATGGTAATTCGTCAACTTGGAACCGCCCACAACTGCACTTTCTCTCTAAGAGGCACACAGTGTAATGCCTTCCTTCATCGTTCACCGTATGCAAGTATTATTTGATATATATATATATCAAATAATAGACGTATTAAATACAGTATAGATATATACAATTAAAATACAATTTAAATATACAGTTGTAAACTTTTATTTATCTTTCAGAATCATCATATATATATTGAATTCAAACAAATATGTATTGAATACAAACATACATACATACATACATATATATATATATATATATATATATATATATATATATATATATATATAAAATACAAANAATCTAAGTAGTTTGAACCTCCCATTAAAGGTTCTGAGGTAATCATAACACCGGAACTGCCAGAACCCGGGTTTCTAGACTCGAAAGCATAGACTCCCAAAGACATGGTTGGATTATCACCAAATAACAAAAAGAATCAACTGAAAAATCTGTGAAACAGATGAAGAAAACACTGTGTTTGCCGGAAAAGTACTGTAGCTGCCGGAAAAATCAGTGTAGTCGCCGGAAAAACTCAAAGTGGTCGGAATCAAACGAAAACAGGATGGGTAGGGTCGGAATTGCTGTGCGACCAGGCTGTCCTGAAGAAGCTCGGCCAAAAAATGGCCGGAAGAGGCCTCACGCGCCGGCGCGTGACGACGGAGACTCGCCGGAAACTATTTTCCGGCGGCGCGTGAGGGCGCGTAGGAGAGGTTCTGCCGGAGAAATTTTTGTGGTTTGGTCGCCGGAAGCTGATCTATCTCGTGGTGGTGTTGGTTTTTGCACAACGCCGACGTATATTGATTTTTTTCTTGCGGACAGTGCTGTTTTGCCGGAAAAAAAAAAGGTTTTTTTTTTTCTTCCCGGAGTCGCTGGAATTTACGCACAGCGATAAATATCTCACGATAGCTCTGATACCATGTGAGAAAGCACAGGAGAAATTATATTATTGATGTATTAACATATGTTACAATGAGCCCTATATATATACACACATAACATGTCCTACTCCTAATATATATTGGATTAGGGTTATTTATTTACTCCTATTTACATGACTATTCTAACAGTGTACTTACATAATAGCAAGCTTCATATCCAGTCTCAAAGTTTCTATATCTTCCTTCTGTCGTCATAAATAACTTTTATTTGGGAATTGGGGGCCTTTTGTTGGAGTTTAAAATGGGCATGCAAAAAGATGATATGAATTAAGAGCCCGTTTGGATTGGCTTATTTTAAGTGCTTTTAAGCCATTTTATAGTGTTTGGATAAAGTTGCTTTTAAGCTCTTTTTTTTAAGCTAAAATGACAAAAATAAGCCAAAAGCCAAAAGTTAGAATTCCTAACTTATGGCTTTTGGCTTAAAAGTCACTTACAACAAGCCCATCCAAACGGGCTCTAAATTTGAAGCACTGTGCTGTGCTCTTCAGTCTTCACACTTTGAATTGCTATTTGTCAGCGCCGTTGGATAGTGGTGAGCAATCCCAGCTTGTGTTCAATTATTTCAAAATGGCTTGGGACAGAAGCATGGATCCGTAATGTGGACCTCATAGCAGGTTTACGAGAATATGCAGAAGATCCAGATCTACATGCTGAATGGAGGAATGTATGAGATCTTTCTTTGCAATCTCAATCTGAAAGGAGTACCTGCTTATTGCTTTTCAGTATAATACATTTTTTACTTCTGACTTGTAGATGAAGAAGGTTAACAAAATGAGGCTGGCTGAGTACATTGAAACACTTACAAGCGTGAAGGTTTCTGCACATACCCATTTCACTTCCTTCTCTGCTGGTTTCCTACATGTATGTTGTCATTTGACCAAGCTATATACCTTATATTGCAGGTCAGCTTGGATGCAATGTTTGACGTGCAGATAAAACGAATACATGAATACAAAAGACAACTGCTCAACATATTAGGCATCATCCACAGATATGATTGCATTAAGGTATCCTCTACATTCCTCTTCTTCTTAGAATAATATTCCTGAGCAAAACCTGACTGTCGAGTGGAGATATAAGCACTTACAAACGTACTCCCTGAACTAGTTGGTTATGCAATAATCACCTTGTTCATACTTCAGGCAGGCCAGCATAGGTAATGGGAAGTGGCTTAGAAGGTGGCTGAAAAAACTTTCTACCTCATTATGGATCACCACCATTTTGTTTTCTTTTGGCAGTTCAAACTCTGAAATTTTGAGCCTAAAGACATCTACTTTTGCCAATTCTGGTTCAGATGTTGTATCTGATCAAGCTTTGGGCATTTGTCGTGGACTTATGTGCTTATGCGCCAAATATGAAGCCACAGAAACTAAATTTGGTTGAATTCTTGTTATAGAATTCATTTTTGAAAATAGAACAGACCACATGATCTCACTACCAGCTGTGGAAATACCAAGACCAACAGAAACGCATGTCTCAACTAAAAATTTTCTTCTTGCCCATTGAATCTTTGTTTCTGTCCGGTGGCCTGATATTTGGGAGCTTATCTTTGTTTTTTTTGGTCATTTCTTCAATAGAATACTCATGGTTGCTCCAAAATCACTTTTACTGACACAAAAAGTATCTAACTTACCTTGTTTATTCAGAATATGGATATGCCTATAAGTATCAGTCTATTTTCTAGAAGTTCTGTTAGTTCCTTATTGTCCTTCACAACTATTATTATCGGTCGAACTGTACTTGATGAATCATCTCTCTGATACATTATACTGTCAATATTTTTTGAAGAATATGGATGAGAGTGACAAGCGGAGAGTTGTACCTCGTGTATGTATAATTGGTGGGAAAGCTGCCCCTGGCTATGAAGTTGCAAAGAAGATCATCAAACTTTGTCATGCGGTGGCTGATAAAGTTAACATTGATCCTGATGTTGGGGATCTCCTGAAAGTGGTAGGACAAGAATTTGATTTATTTGTTTGTAACCTCAATTATGTTCAGTCTCATCATGTTTAAATGAAACCATAGTCCATTCTTTTCTCTATGAAAATGAGAATGTCCATTCAGAAACTTGATCTGCTTCTGAAAAATACAACATGGAATGAGCAAAGATAATTATAACAAGGAAGAGAAGAGAATATCAAGCAGGTTCGAAGCATTACTTTGTTAGCCCCAAACAATCTGTCCCATAAAGTCTTCTCCTGAATGATGCGTTCATTCTAGAGTCAGCTGTAATTGGAAACTTTTGAAGAAAGTTAATGAAAACACTTCTACCATTTGGCTGCACAATTATGCAATTGTTGTCTTACAAGACTTCGCTGTGCCTACATATTGATCTGGCATGTCATTGATCTAAAACATTCTCAGGGTTTACTCTATATGTGATCCTTGCTTTCTTTTCCCCATCCCCTACTATTAATGTTCATGTGCACTTTTCCTGGATTGTTGATGTGAATGTTACTGCTCAGAATTTTTATACTTCCATTTTCTGATGTCATTATAGATAGCTAAAACTTAGGAGAAATGAACTCGTCTTCTGATATTTCAGGTTTTCATCCCTGATTATAATGTCTCTGTTGCCGAAATAGTAATTCCGGGAACTGATCTTTCACAGCACCTAAGGTCAGTGTTTATCTTGTGCCCTCTCTTCTGTTTTTATCTTTTAACAGGTGCAATTTACAATTACAGCACACTGTCTTACCTGATAATGTCTGCTGTTTCTCCCTAAGTAGAATTAAAATCACTTATTTCCTCTTTGGATGGTCAAAGTTCGCTGTGACTGCTTCTTTGTTCACTTTGAAAGTCATTGTTTGCTTCAACTGGTACCAATAACTCCAGTATGAGCAGTTTCCTGCAAAACTTGATGTACCAGGAATCTTTCATGTACAGATGTGTGCTAACAATGGATAGAAATCATTTTTATTTTTGCAGTACTGCTGGACATGAAGCATCTGGAACTGGATGTATGAAATTTTTGATGAACGGTTCTTTATTATTAGCTACTGCAGATGGCTCAGCTGTTGAAATTGCTGAAGAAATAGGGGCAGCAAACATGGTAAGTAGTGACAGTTGACACGTGTAAATGATGATAAAAGAACAGAAGAAAAGAAAAAAAAAGTGTTGTAGGATCCCTTAATGGACCCCATTTTCTTGTTTGATAACTTTCTTTTGTTCCTTATTCTTCTTTTTCTTCTTCAGTTTCTTTTTGGTGCAAAGGTAGACGAGGTCCCAGTGTTGCGAGAAAAAGGAACCAGCCTCAAAGGTTCACTTCAATTTGCACGAGTTGTAAGGTACGCAGTGTAGTTTGAGCAATCTTTCCCTTGAGTTTTACGTCCTACTCTCTGTATCTATCCAACTCCCGAATGAACAATCTACCATGTCTAGGTGTTTCCTTTCTGTTGGCTGCCATGGAAAATTGACAGTAGTCTAGAGAATTATTGGATATGGTCTTTTCTATCCCTCTCTCTGTCACAGTCACACACATTAACTTTTGTTTTTTGACCTCCAAGATCGTCTATACCATGTCTCATTCACTAGCGTGATTGTCAAAGCTGATGGGCATATCGTTGTCACATAAATGATCTTTATGACATGTTATCACTCGTCCCCACTTATAATTTCTCTACCTTTCATTATTGTGAGAATGCACGGGAGAAAAAAAATATATTATTTTGATTAAAGTGTTGTACAACCCTATTTATATACAGTAATTACATAATAATAGGTATCTACTTCCCGACATGGGAGACTAAACATGACTATCTACTTAACACTCCCCCCTCAAGCCGGTGCATATAAATCATATGTACCTAGCTGCTCATTCGACTTTACAAACTATGCAACAATATCTCCTGAGAGTATCTTTTCTCTGACAAAGTGACATTCGATCTCAATGTATTTAGTCCTCTCATGGAACACCAGATTTGACGCAATATGAAGAGCAGCTTGATTATCAAACATCAGTTCCATCTTGCTGATTTCTCCGAACTTCAACTCCTTGAGCAACTGCTTGATCCAAACTAGCTCACACATTGCCACAGCCATGGCCCGATATTCGGCTTCGACGCTAGATCGAGCAACTACATTCTGTTTCTTGCTCTTCCAAGATACCAAATTACCTCCTACTAGAACACAATATCCAGACGTAGAACGTTTATCAGAAGGTGATCCTGCCCAATCAGCATCTGTGTACCCAACCTGCTCGTGGCCTCGATCCTCGAATAGTAACCCTTTGCCTGGAGCTGACTTTATATACCGAAGAATGCGAACAACTGCATCCCAGTGACTATCACAGGGAGAATTCATAAACTGACTTACAACACTCACCGGAAAAGAAATGTCAGGTCTAGTCACTGTGAGGTAATTCAATTTGCCAACCAACCTCCTATATCTCGTAGGATCTCTAAGAGGCTCCCCCTGTCCAGGCAGAAGCTTAGCATTCGGATCCATAGGAGTGTTAATCGGTCTACAACCCATCTTTCCAGTCTCCTCAAGAATGTCTAAGGCATACTTTCGCTGTGAAATAACAATACCTGAGCTAGACTGAGCGACCTCAATACCTAGAAAATACTTCAATCTGCCCAGATCCTTAGTCCGGAAGTGCTGAAAGAGATGCTACTTCAGATTAGTAATACCATCCTGATCATTGCCAGTAATAACAATATCATCAACATAAACCACCAGATAAATACGCAGATTAGGAGCAGAATGCCGATAAAACACAGAGTGATCAGCTTCACTACGAGTCATGCCGAACTACTGGATAACTGTGCTGAACTTACCAAACCAAGCTCGAGGGGACTGTTTCAAGCCATATAGTGACCTGCGCAATCGGCATACAAGACCACTAGACTCCCCCTGAGCAACAAAACCAGGTGGTTGCTCCATATAAACTTCTTCCTCAAGATCACCGTGGAGGAAAGCATTCTTAATGTCTAACTAATAAAGAGGCCAATGACGTACAACAGCCATGGACAAGAAGAGACGAACATATGCTACTTTAGCCACGGGAGAGAAAGTGTCACTATAATCAAGCCCAAAAATCTGAGTGTATCCTTTTGCAACAAGACGAGCCTTAAGACGATCAACCTGGCCATCCGGGCCGACTTTGACTGCATAAACCTAACGACAGCCAACAGTAGACTTACCTGAAGGAAGAGGAACAAGCTCCCAAGTGCCACTCACATGTAAAGCAGACATCTCCTCAATCATAGCCTGTCGCCATCCTGAATGAGATAGTGCCTCACTTGTGTAGACTTTGGGATAGAAACATTTGACAACGATGATATAAAATCATAATGAGGTGATGACAGACAATGATAACTTAAGCCGACATAATGGGGACTAGGATTAAGAGTGGATCGTACACCTTTCCGAAGTGCAATCGGTGTACTAGGAAGAGACAAGTCCACAGTAGGAGCAGGGTCAGGTGTAGGACGTGAATTAGTTGGGCCTGATGCAGGGTGCGGACGACGATGATATGTCGAGAGTGGTGTTCCTGTGGCGGGGAATCTAGGAGGAGCCACACTAGACTCCCCAACGGTTGGAATGGGTAAGACTTCTGTGGCGGAAGGTGAAGGAGGAGCTATAGTAAGCTCCTTAAAGGTCGGTATAGGTAAGACCTCAGATATATCAAGGTGGTCAGAAGAGGTAAAAAAAAAGGTTTAGACTCAAAAAATGTGATGTCAGATGACATAAAGTACTTACGAAGATCAGGTGAGTAACAACGATATCCCTTCTGAATACGAGAATAACCAAGGAAGACACACTTGAGAGCACGAGGAGCTAACTTATATTTCCCAGGGGCTAAGTTATGAACGAAACAAGTGCTCCCAAAAACACGAGGAGGAACAGAGTATAAGGTGACTGGTGAAACAATACTGCATACGGAATCTGATTCTGGATGGGAGATGAAGGCATCCGATTAACCAAATAACAAGCTGTGAGAACTGCATCGCCCCAAAAACGCAACGGAACATGAGATTCAATGAGAAGTGTGCGAGCAGTCTCAATGATGTGCCTATTCTTTCTCTCTGCAACCCCATTTTGCTGAGGGGTATAAGGACAAGAGTTCTGATGAATAATTCCTTGAGAAGTCATAAACTGCTGAAATTGAGAGGATAAATATTCTAAGGCATTATCACTGCGAAAAGTGCGAATAGAAACACCAAATCGTTTTTTAATTTCAGCACACAAATTCTGGAATATAGAAAACAACTCTGATCGATCTTTCATTAAGAAAATCCAAGTACATCTTGAATGATCATCAATGAAACTAACAAAATAACGAAATCCCAAGGTTGAACTAACTCTACTAGGACCCCATATATCATAATGAACTAAAGAAAAAACAGACTCTGCATGACTCTAATACTACGAGGAAAGGAGGCTCGGGTATGTTTCCCGAGCTGACATGACTCACACTCTAATGTAGATAAACTAGACAAACTAGGCACCATTTTCTCATGCTTGGATAAGCTTGGATGTCCTAAACGTCTGTGAATTAGGTCCGGAGGATCTGTAACTAGACATGCCTTGGAGGAATTGAGTGAGTTAAGATAGTAAAGGTTTTTTGATTCAAGTCCTGTTCCAATCGTCTGTCTCGTACTGCAGTCCTGCATAATAAAAGAATCATCAATAAAATATATACCACAATGGAGGGCACGAGTCAAACGACTAACAGAAGCAAGATTAAAAGGACAGCCATGGACATAAAGAACGGAATCTAGATTGACAGAGGGTAGGGGATTCGCTTGTCCAACTCCTTTTGCTTTAGTTTGAGACCCATTGGCTAAAGTAACAGTGGGAATAGACTGTGAGTACGCAATATTTGACAAAAGTAATTTATTACCAGAGATATGATCAGAAGTGGCTGAGTCCACAACCCATTGTCCAAGAGTAGTAGACTGGGAAACACAAGCAAAAGAATTACCAGCAACAGAAGTATCAGTCTGAGCAACAGAGGCTACTTGTGGAGATGTCTGCTTACTTGCTCGATACTGAAGGAACTCATTATACTCCCCTTTAGATAAAGAAAATCCCTGGTTACCTGTAGTCTCGGTCTGAGCAACATAAGCATTTTTGGGTGGACGACCATGTAAAGAATAGCACACGTCACGAGTGTGTCCAAGTTTATGACAATAAGAGCCCTTGGGTCTAGATCTTCCAAAACGACCTCCTTCTCGTCTATTCTCCATAGTTTGAGATGCCCGATTGTCCACTAATTGGGATACGAGAACAAATGAGTCAAGTGTCTGTGATGAGCTCACTGGGTGACTTGGTGCTGTAGCAAGGCGAAGTAATCAAGAGAATAATTCATCAACTGTGGGGATAGTCGGACTAGCCAAAATCTGGTCACGTATTGAATCAAGGTCATTAGGGAGTCCAACGAGTATAAGAACTAGAAACATCTTCTGTCGTTGCTCTTGTTGCTTTCCAATACTAGCAGAAACTGGCATCAACGTCTCAAATTCTTCCATGACTGCCTGTACTTGTCCCAAGTAAGTAGACATATCCAATTCCTGTTTCTTCAAGCTTGTCATTCGCGATATTACATCATAGAAACGAGATATGTCATTAGTGTATAAAGTACAAGCCTTTTCCCAAACTAAATAACATGTCTGGAATGGACGGAACAAGGGCATCAACTTGGAATCAATAGATCGCCACAGGATACTACATAATTGAGCATCGACCTTCTCCCAATGTGTTTTGGCCTTTTCATCACCTTCGCTAGCCTTTTTTGTTAAATGATCTTGAACTCCTTCACCTTTACATCACAACTCGACAGACGAAGCCCAAGCTAAGTAGTTTGAACTTCCCATTAAAGGTTCTGAGGTAATCATAATACCAGGACTTCCAGAACCCGTGTTTCTAGACCCAAATACATCCACTCCCAAAGACATTATTGGATTGAAAAGAGATCTAGCAAATTAGCACCAAATAAAACAAAGAATCAACTGTGGTTGCCGAAAATTGCCGGAAAAAATACTGTAACTGCCGGAAAACTACTGTAGTTGCCGGAAAATTTTCAAAATGCTCGGAATCAAAAAATAAAAATATGGGCAGACTCGGAATGGTAGGGCGATCAGACTGTTCTAAAGGAGTTTTCTGAAAAAATTGACGGAACGGGCTCCATGCGCCGGCGCGTGGAGTAGATCTCGCCGGAGAAGACTGTCTCCGGTCGGCGCGTGGCGGCGTATGACGGAGGTGTTTGCTGGGGTTTGGTCGCCGGAGGTTGGGGGACCTTGTGGTGGTGTTGGTTTTTGCACAACACCAATGGAATTGGTTTTGACGAAAAAGTAGCCCTAAAAGGTCACCGAAATCGAAGCACGGCAACGGCTAGGTTTTTTCCGGATATTTTCTCACTGTCACTCTGATACCACGTGAGAATGCACGGGAGAAAAAAATATATTATTTTGATTAAAGTGTTGTACAACCCTATTTATATACAGTAATTACATAATAATAGGTATCTACTTCCCGATGTGGGACACTAAACATGACTAACTACTTAACAATTACTCCCTCCGTTTCATATTAAATGAGGTACTTTCCTTTTTAGTCTGTTCCAAAATAAATGACACATTTCTAAATTTGGAAATAATTCAACTTTAAACTCCTCATTTTACCCATTTTACCCTTAATGAGAACCTTTTATAACCACACAAAAGTCATGGCCCCACAAAGCGTTACCCCTTAAGCTTTTAAGACCACAAATTTCAAAAGTCTTTCTTTTTTTTCTTAAACTCCGTTGCGAGTCAAACTACCTCATTTAATTTGAAACGGAGGGAGTATCATAAATGAGTTGGGAAAACAAATCAGCATTAAAGTCATTTTTTTGCCTCCAAGGTTCTTGGAGGTTTGTCCTGACCATAGAATTCGTGTTGTATCTGAAATATTTCCTATCCTGTCTGCAATTGCAATGTAAGTCATTTTTTTGCCTCCAAGGTTCTTGGAGGTTTGTCCTGACCATAGAATTCGTGTTGTATCTGAAGTATTTCCTATCCTGTCTGCAATTGCAATGTAGTTCAGGGTTATGTAGCTGCCCGCAGCTGTGAGTATGATTGTTCATGTGGTGCAGCAAAGTTTTCGTAAATTTTTGGGTAATGCCTGGTCAGAGTAAACAGAATTCAAATGGACATAGTGCCATAACTTTCCCTTTGCAACCTTGTTAATAGGAGATGTCATGGATAATTAATATAAGCCAACAACATAAAGAAGTCAGAAGGAAAGTACTATGATCGTAGTAATATGAAGCTTACTCTGCAAGGTTTTTAGTCACAGGATGAAGCTTACTGCGTGAATGATCTTTCTTAGTGAAATGCACTGCATAGGTTCATGAGAATAACTTTTGGAGTTTTCAGCTTTTAGCTCTCTTATTGTACTATACGTGTAGGATGGTCCGGGATGGTCACTTTGGCTTCAAAGACTACTTCAAGTCGCTATGTGACACTGTAGAGGAGGGTAAAGACTTTTATCTCCTGGGATATGATTTTGCTAGTTATTTAGAGGCTCAGGTAATGTTTCAAACCAATATGTTAGTGCAACTATTTTTGTGAGAAATGCTCAGTTTGGAACTGACAGTATATGACAACAGGCGGCCGCTGATAGAGCATTTGTTGATCAAGATAAGTGGACCCAAATGAGCATACTTTCTACTGCCGGTTCAAGGAAATTCAGCAGCGATAGAACAATAGAAGAATATGCAGAACAGAGTTGGGGCATTGAACCCAGCAAATGCCCCTTTTGATAGCAAAACAATGCCTTACATGCCAGACATTTCCTGTAGGACAAACATGGTTTGTGCAGCAATAGTAACCGTGTATCCTAATTTGACGATACAGAAAGCAGCGACTGCAAGAAACACTTGTAAGGAAGCTCTTATAGTTGCAGATAAAATGAATGGAACATACTACATCCTCAAAAAGATGACCTTTTGTTTATCCGTATGTCTTTCCTGAATGCTGATGTGAAACATGTTACATGGTTATTCTGACTGAGGGGCTAGTCGATTTTATTTTATATCAACTTGTGTCATGCAAGTAGCTCCTTAAACGAACATGGGATGTAAAACTTAGCAAGTCTTCCTTTTATTTCCTGGAATATTTGGGTTGTAAGAGATTCTCAATCTTTTCAATGCAAGTTATTACCAGTACTTGATATTTTGATTGTTCGTTTGGAAGTAATTTATTCCTTATAATTTCTTTGTTCATTTTATCGTCAAATGCTTTTTTTTTTTTTTTCTAAACTGTCAAATGCTTCAAGTGGCAGAATCTTGTGGACTGGAATTTCTACTCTGATGGACCAAACAAAGTGATCAAAGCTCTAATTAGGGGACATTTGGATTAGTCTAGGCAATGATAATTAGTAAAATAATAATAATAATGATGAAAAAATTGTTACGTAGTGAATATTATTGCATGAGTTTACTGGAAATAGCAGTTAAAAGTTATACTATAATTGAAGTGCACAAAAAAAAAAATTCTGTTCTCATTCTTTCTTTTTTTTTATTTGCGGATAAAGTCGTGAATAGTGGGAGATAATTTACTCAGTTCATTTTTAAAAATAATCTATTTTTACTCGGTTTATTCTTTTTTTTTTTTTTAACAAAATGTAACTCGGTTTATATTCCCTCTCTTTTCTTTCGTCATTTTTGTCCTTTTGTGAAGATAGAGCAAGAGTAAACGGTATTCATATTTTAGCAGCAGCATCTCAGCATTCAGTAGAATAACGAAGATGGAGATGGCGATCTGCTTAATTTTGGTTGCCGCCATATTTACTGCTCTCTTCTCTCTGGCAGCTCTCGTTCCGCCAGTCGAATCTCAGGTTCCACCATCGTCCGGTCAACAGAATCAAAATTCGGTGATGTACGAATTGCAAGAAGCGAAGCTTAAAATCGCTCGATTAGGTTATTTCTCATGACTCATCACTTTCACCCTTGAAATTCGAACTCCACATGGCTCAATGCTTATGTTTCTCTTGTGGTTTATGAGCTGCATATTTAAAGATATATTTATACACACAAACACGAGTGCATTGACATGTAATTACAAATATAAACAAAAGAGATGCACACGCACAGAAGTGCATTTACATGTAATTAGTACTTTTTATGTTCCGGTTTTATTGTTAGAAGTAAGAATAGTTCAAAATAATCGTTCTACTCACTGATTATGAGGGTTTCAGTAAATGTTTCATTATAAGCTGGTTGATATGAGTGCTTCATTTCATTGCCAGGCTCGTGTATCCCCTCCTTATTCTTAACTATCGATAGTCAGGAAAGATTTGACTATGATTGGAATATGTGATTACTCATTACAATATATAGGAAACCGTAGTGCATATATGCGTGAATAACTTGATGCTAGTGATCTCTCAATTGGACTAGGGTAAGATATTATGTACCTTTACCTTAAAATTTTGCTTCATGCTAAGAAGCCTTATTGATACAATGTATTGAATATGTGCATTGGAAAGTGTTATTCTTTTTCTTTCTGTTTCTCCTTTTTCTATATAAATGTGCATTGCATTGCAAAGTGGGATTTTTAACTTCCCTTAATTGAGTTTCCCGCACAAATGCAGGGACAGTGTTCTTTCTTGTGCTAGTGTCCTGATGGTCCTATCTATCCACTTCTTAATATGTGCTTTTCATAATTCTGCCATGTAAATACAATGATTATCCTTTAACCATGCAGTTTTTGGTCTTCTTATGCCTTAGATAAAGATATCTTGTCAGTAGCATTTTTTCATGAGAAGTATGCTATGTCTTCACTTGCTATTATTCTGTTAGTTCTGTAAAATTTTAACATTGCTGCATTTGATTGCAGAATCCATCCTTGACGAAAGCATGCCGAGTTTAAATGCTAAAAGCCAATACATTAGAGAAGCTGAGAAGAAAATCGAGGACATTAGTGTAGAAATTGACAATCTTACAACCTCTTTGTCCAAATTGCAGGTTTGTTTTTGGCCAGTTTACAGTTTTTCATGTGTGCTAATATCTGACTTATTCCAAATGAATTGGCTTATTCGGAAAAGGCCTTGTTCGTTGCAAGATTCTATGCCTTGTCTGGTACTGCATGGAAAAATAGATTAGAAATTAGTATGAGAAAATATGCTGAAGTAGTCAAAACGAATGATCCCGTTCTATTGATCTTCTGTTATTACGAGTAGGATCTGAATTCGATGAGGTTCAATAGGTTGACATTAGTGACAATAATGGAAGGGATTGAACGGAGCACTTGTGATTTAAGGGTTTTTTCTTTCCAAATAAATTTGGTGTAGGAAACAGATATTATGGCATATCATAAGAGAATTTATCCCTCCAACCCACATCATCAATGTCTTCTTCCATTGGGAGTAGGGAGCAGAATCTTGTATTTGTATAAGGGAATATGTTCATTCAAATGCCAGATAGTTGTTTTGATAAAAACTAATGCCTTAGATATCTTGATGATGCTCATGCAAAAACCTAAACAGTATGCCCTAAATTCCCTGTCTGATTATGATCCTTTGATTGTAAAAAATGGCTAGTTCTGTGAATATTAAGGCTGTGTAAGTGCAGCTTTGTTGCTGGTAATCAGTTTCTGAACCCCAGGTACATTTCTGGTTCACATGTTCGTACATAATATAGGTGGTCTTCAGTTCTCTGTCATTTTATTGAATATGATTTCAAAAATAGATTCTCGGTTGTGATGATTCTGATTTCTTGGTTGATCTTTCATTTTGTGACCTGATCTCGTCTGATCTCAAGTAGGTAAATGTGGCATGCCTCATGGGAGTTGTGCTAATATTACTAGAGCATCTATAATTCATGCAACCTGAGTGAAATTCATGTCAATATGAGAAAATGGAATAAATGATACACATCCCTTCCTTATGAATGCTGTCTTTTTCTCTTTCTTCAGCATCACTCGTCAAGGATTAATACTCTAGAAGAAAAGGTATGATTACCACGTGGTCGCTGCTTTTCTTTCTCCATAAAGTTTCTCATCTTATAGTATGATAAATGAGGCAATTGCATAGGTACGACTGCTTTGGGATGTGGCGAGAAAGAACAACTTTGAAATTCATACATTGGAGTTCAAAGCACAAGATGGTCAGAAAAGATTAAAAGTTCTTGCGTCTCAAGTTGAAAAGGTAGGTTTGCCAGTAAATAATATTTCTCTAGTGCAGGTCAAGTGGAAGAAAATAATTTCTTTTAGGATGTTGATTGATTCTTTCATCATCTTGAGAATGAGATTTCTGTAGAAGTGTTTTGAAACATCTTTACTGTATACTAGGGTAAACATGACAGTTATTGCAGCCTTGGACGCTTAAGATTTCTCTTCAGTTGAAGAAATCATCTTATTTCATGCACAGGAGATAGGAATAAGACCTAAATGGTAACAAGATGTCCACACGATAACATATTTCTTCGTTTAGGAAAAATTGGTAGCATTCAAAGAAAAAGAAATGGTAGAAGAGAATAAGAGAACTTTTTTCCACTTAAATGGTTTTCCTTCACCACTTTGTGTCCGAGGAAATGAAAAGTTAATAACCTGCTATGCATTTTCTTCTTAGGCAAGAGATGTGGCAAAAGTTCTCTGTATGAGTATTATGATACTCTGTAATCTTTCATTGATAAACTATTTAATTTGGGTTCACAGATGGCTGAAATTGTGTCTGAACAATGGATTCAGATACAACAACTTGAGCAAGCTGTTCAAATGGCAGAGGTATCTTCTTGTTTATGCCGTGGGTTGTATTTACCATTAAAACTATAATAGAACTGCGGCCAAAGCTGAATCACAACTTTATATGTCAGATGAGAACACTGAAGGTCAAAAGGCAACTAAGGTCCAGTAAATGTCCATTTGTCAAGGTACTGAAAGATGCTCATTAAATTTTCCTAGCTTGCCAACTCCTTTGGAACATCGTATAGGGACATGATTGCTCTCGATGTATTCTTAGGCATTCAAGTCTTTGAAGAGAACTAACACTCTTGTGATCTCCAGTTCATCAAAAACGTTTTTGGCAACCACCTCGAAACGTTGAAGGGGATTCTGCATCCATATGGATCATACAGCAAGGCTGATCCTAATTCCTACTGGGATCAAGCTTTGCATCACATACAGAGGACCTTTGGATCTGCAAGACAATACCATTATGAGGTACTCAAAATTTCTTAATTAGGAGGGTAGGAATTAATAAGTGGTATTATTGCTGCTTAATCAGTTTATGGGGTGACATTCTACATTTGTTTTTTCATGTCGTCTTATGGTTAGCTTTTGCTCTTCCTCTTTAATGAGCAATCTCAAGATAAAATTTTTATTTTTGATATTTAAGTTGGTAACCGCAGTACATTTGAAGGAGTTCAAATCCCGGTTTCTAGGGTCAAAAACAATCTTTTGTTTCCTCTGTACTTTTGGGGCATGATGGATATGCATACTTGCATAGATGGTTACCTAGACTTTTTGGAGCTTAGTCTATATGGATAGACCTCTTCTGTTTCTTGGTGTATTATTAATAAAATATTCATTTAACGGTGTGTGTGTGTGCGCGTCTGAATTGATGCCATATATAACCTTTTTTTTTTTTGTGTGTGTGTGTGTGTGTGTGTATTGATGTCATATTTAAGTTAGTAACTGGAAATGTGAAAATTTATGTCCTTGATTGTTTAGTTGCTGTTGGATGCACACCCTTCAGTACGATTATATGATTTTCTGACAGCTTATAACTACGCAGCTGCAGAAGTTTGTAAAGCATGAAATAGAAAGGAATGAATTTCCTGCGGCTTTAGCTAATGAAGAAGTGGTGTTCTTAGTGGTAAGAACTTTGATGACTGAGTTTTCTGAACTTTATTTATCTTCGCATGTCAATAATTTCCCCCACTAATGTGCTTGTTAATGAAATTCTCGACTTTTGGCAGGCCTCAGCTCTGATCGTCTTTCCCATTTTAAGTGTATTCATGCTTCTCTTCTCACACCTTAGCTAGGCGGATACAAACATATTTTTTTGAGAAAGGTACCAGTATAGGCGTCAGGCGATACAGGCATACTTATTCATGGAAAGATACTGGTGTATTACGCCAAGAATGAAGTTGAGGTAGTGTTTTGTCAGGTTTTTGTTATAAGAAAGTTTTGAAGGTCGACAACCTGTACGAGATTGGGTAAGATTCGCCTCAAAGCGATGATTGGTTTACCAAACAATTCGCTCATGACAACCAAGAATTATTACACGAAAAGAAGCAAATCATGACCACGTGAAATTTTTGATCTCTTGTACACTTTGTAGATATTCACCTCAACAAATGCCATTTCTCTATTTGAGGAAATTCATATGGTTCTTCTTGGTAGTTGTTACACTATGGATGTGGAAAGTGATCGTAGCTTAATTGTCAGCTACTGCCAGTTACTGGAATGTCAGTGCTGCTTTTGTTATCAATTAAATGCAGTACTCTTCTTGTTTGGCCCCAATTAACCTCTTTGTCATTTTCTTTATTAACATAACCTTAAACTAAATTGTCAGCTCATATAGTAAAGCCATCACAAAATCTTAATGAACAAATAATAATAATAATAATAAGTGTAAGAGTACAGATCTTTCGATGCTCTTTTCGTTTGCTCTTCGGAGTAAAGATTTCGATTTTTTGCTTATGAATAACTATCCATAACGTGAGCTGGATACTTTCTAAAATTGTTGTTCCCTAAATTGGGAAACACATTTAGAAATTTTAGAGAACTTATAAGAGGAATTTTCAGAAGTGAATATTGTTTAGTGGCTATTAACTTGTTATAGCTACCATTTACTTAATTACTTCCTATAGCTATGTTTTCACTTGTTATAGAGTGTATTTATTGTAATATGCACATGTGGCATGCTTTGTACAGCTGGCTGCCAGCTAGATGCCAACTAAGGTGTCTTAAGTTAGTTGTAATTAGTTGAAAGATGTGATTAGGAGGTTAGGACATTTTGTGTGTGTGTGTGTGTATATATATATATATATATATATATATATATATAAGGTTGTATATGCATCATGTATTGATATATATTCAAGGGATTGTACTTTATGTGATCTACATTTTGTATTCAGATGTATTCGAATATATTCAGATTATGCTGTATGTGTACTGCATTTTATATTCATAAGTATTCAAATGTTTCCAGATTGTATTGCATTTTGTATTCAAAATTAAGCCTGGCCTTATCTTTGCAGCGCCAGCCTCAGCCTGGCCTTTGCCTTGCAGCGCCAGCCTAACGCCAGCTTCAGCCTGGCCTCGCCAGGCTTAAGCCTGGTTAAGCTGGCCTTTGCCTGGCCTCGCCAGGTCTCTCCTTTTCATTGTTCTCGAGCACACTTTCAACGTTTAAGTATCCATTTTGCTCTACTTTCATGTTCAATTTACTTACACATAAAATAGACTCTATTACGTGCAAATAAAGTATAAGTTATCATTAAAGCATGTAAAATGCAAGGCACATAATGTGCTAAACCATGAATTATAGCCACACATCAGTATTGAATGTGATCTACATTTTGTATTCAGATTATGTTGTATGTGTACTGCATTTTGTATTCGTAAGTATTCAAATGTTTCCAGATTGTATTGTATGTGTAAGCCATTTGTATTGATATGTATTCAGCAGATTGTAATTGTGTATTCAGATGTAACTGCACCTGTATGTATTCATATTTATTCAAAATATAAATGCAATATGTATTCAGCAGTTTACTAAATTATATTCAGCAGAATGTATTCACGCAATAATCCAATACACCAACTAATTATATCCAGAATGTATTCACGCAAAAATCCAATACACCAACTAATCAATATGTGTTATTTCAAAATGTCACCGGAATCTATGACACATCGTTATTCCACTAATACAAGTCAGAATGTGAATTAAGTCATACGTGGAGCATATCTACAAGTACGCTTATTATGACCTCACTGCCCACATATGCTACACGAATGTCAATTTTTCTTCTGCAACAATTCACCGAACGGCTAATCGCGCTTCTTTTTTGGCCTTCCAGGAGGTCTTTTCCATTTGGGTGGTAAGACAACTTCCTCTGATATATGTGCTGGTATATTCCATTCATTTCGGTCAGGCAGCGGATACACGGGCACCTCGTATGTCATTACAATAGACTTTGGTTTGTAATAGTCAGAGCAATAATCTTCTGGCATTAGAAACTTGTTCTTCAAGACAGCCCAAGCGTGTGGGCATGGTAATTCGTCAACTTGGAACCACCCACAACTGCATTTTCTCTCTAAGAGGCACACAGTGTAATGCCTTCCTTCATCGTTCACCGTATGCAAGTATTCAGTCGATGGTACAACCTACATTTAAACATAGACCTATGAGTTTTGAACATTTTTTAAAAAAAAATCATGTATATAATTGTAGGAATCTCGAATTTTATTGGTTGAAAACAGAAAAATCCACGAACGATAGCAATAGAAAAAGGAAGGATTATAAACTCAGCGACTGCTCTGTTTTGTTGTATTTTTCGGCTGGGAAAATATTCAGCAAATTCGGCGTCAAATACAGAGGTGATATAATCGAGTTAGTTGAGTTATATTAGGAGTCTATTGTGTTAATTAATTCACTTTCAGTTTAAAAAACTGAATAGACCACGATTTACGCTATTTATGTTACTGTATTCACAAATACATATCGTGAATACAGTCGAATACAATAATTGCCTAGCTGTACTCCCCTATTTCACGCCGAGTTTTGCTACTGTATTCATGAATACAGTAGCTTAAATACATCGAATACACTCTAAAAACTGAAAGCATAGCTATAGGAAGTAATATAGTAAATGGTAGCTATAGCTAGCTAATAACCACTAAACAATAGTGCTTTGCGAAAATTTCTTTAAAAAAATTGAAAAACCAAATAAATAGGTTCTTTCTCTCAAAGAATCACATGCAAAAATCTCCTTCCATATTTTTAAGCGTGATTAGCAACATTAGATGCAAGATGGAAAGGAAATTTCATGGATGAGGTAGCAAATAAGGTGATGAAATATGAAAAAAATATACGATATTCCAAAAATCTAAGCAAAAAAAGGAACTTTTTCAATGGGCATAGTTGAAATTTACTAAAAACATATAGATAAGTCAATATACAAAATTTGAGGAAGATTGGAGGTAATTTGGACTGGTTTTGTATCAAAATTCGTAATTAAATCGAGTTCAATTTTTTCTGCGAAACGTGTATCAAACATGTCTCTCTCTCTCTCTCTCTCTCTCTCTCTCTCTCTCTCTCTCTCTCTCTCTCACACACACACACACACACACACACACACATGATACATATGTGATACACAATTGACACATAGTGTGATACACATATCATTTTTTTCACGCTCAGTTTTTACTTCGAATTTTCAATTCAAACCACCTCAAAACTTTACCAAATCATCCCAAAACTGAGATTCAAGCTCCTTAAGATGTACTCAATCTATTCTAATAACACCCTCTCAAAAGAAAGCAAAATTTTGACCTTTTTTTGCTACAAATAGCTAATTGGCTAATATTTAGCTAATATTAGCAATTTTTTATGAATTGGCCAATTTTTGTAATGAACTACTTATAAATGGACATAGCTGGTAGTTTCCCCTTTTTACATATATTACAATTGCATCAAGTATTTGCCTCTTATATTTATACTCTTAAAAGTTTTTTTCTATATCATTTTTAAGGAAGCTATTTTAAATATTTTTTCGAATACACATGCAAACAAACAGAAAAGGGCTTGCTTTAATTTTGTATACGGTCGAAATCAGGCTCGTCTATTGGATGACAAATCGGGATTAAAACGTGAAGGGTTGAAGATCGACCTCAGGTTCCATCGAACTAGGACACGAGGTCAGAATGCCCGTCTTCAAGGACATCGAGTGCATGAACCCGGAACCGACCCTGACACCGAATGAGCTCGAGGAAACAGTGTTAGATCGGATAACAGAAGGCCAAAATATGTAATCGGACGAATATCATGGCGGGAATCTCGGCACGTATCAATGGAAAATCGGCTAATCAACAAATTATGGGATTTTTACCTTTTATAGAATTGTACCTAAAGTAGGACTCCTCTACTATATAAAGGGGGTCTGATTATTTGTAAGGGGGGTGACAATCATTTAGAAGCAAAATACTGCTATTTCTCTTTAAGTTCTTATTCAACTGCGATCAAAGTGCATCCTGTTCAAAGAGGACCCTCCTCCCAAGGTTGCTACTGTCTAATTTGTGTGGTTTAAATTTATTTTATCATACTTTGTTCTAATTGCAATTTAATTTATCGCCTTTTGTCAATTTAATCCATGTATCCTTAAAATCACTTACAAATTTAATTATTATCCGATTTTGAGGGTAAACAGTTTGGCGCCTACCGTGGAGCTAAGGACAATATTGGTTATTTGATACAAATTTCCATAACACACACTATTTTACACTTGTTTTTTGAAGTGTCTCTGATGTCAGGATAATAATGTCGAACTCCTAATCAGCACCCCTACATGTTGATAATGAGTTCGGCCACCATGGCGAAAACGACAAATCTGCCCACCGATCCTGAGGGTAGCATTCATAGGGATGTTCGATCGGTCGCACAAAGCGCACACGGCGGCGAGGATGATGGAATCAAACTGCGGGTGATCTTCGAAATGTTACAGGATCAACAGGCGGCGATAGCCCAGCTTCAGAACCAGAGCCGCCCGCCAAGTAGGATTGAGCCCGAGCCATCCCAGGAAGTCGTTCACAGAGTTGAATCAGCCTCAAGGAGATCGAATGAGAAGGAATTGGGGATAAATCTGGTAATCATGAAGATGCTCAAGGAACTGACAAAATGGATTGAGTCGGGAGAGAAGAAGATCGAGGCAAACAACAAGAAGGTGGAGACCTACAATTCCAGGATCAATCAAATCCCAGGAGCGTCGCCGATATTGAAAGGCCTGGACTCCATGAAGTTCGTGCAAAAACCCTTTCCTTCGAGCGCGGCTCCCAAGCCGATCCTTAAGAAATTTGCATGCCCGAGATTCCTAAATCCAATGGAATGAATGACCCGAACAAGCATGTTTCCTCCTACACGTGTGCCATCAAAGGGAATGACTTGGAGGATGATGATATCGAATCTGTCTAGCTGAAGAAATTTGGAGAGACCCTGTCGAAGGGAGCTATGATATGGTATCACAATTTACCACCTAACTCTATTGACAAATTTTCTATGCTTGCAGACTCTTTTGTGAAGGCACACGTTGGGCTATCAAGGTCGAGACCAGGAAGTCAAACCTTTTCAAAGTAAGGCAGAAGGACAATGAAATGCTCAGAGAGTTCGTGTCCCGGTTCCAAATGGAACGAATGGACCTACCGCCGGTCGATGATGATTGGGCCGTTCAAGCTTTCACCCAAGGACTCAACGTCTGAAGCTCGATTGCTTCACAGCAGTTGAAGCAGAATCTGAT